GTGGGGCCTGTCGAGGAGGTTGATACCACTAGGGGCTTGCTGAGGGTAGTAGGTTGGGACCTGCAGGCTAATCTCACTACGTTGTTGTGGTGGTAGGCGACCATAGTAGGGTCTACGCCAGAGCAAGCGATAGAGGTTAATACGCTAGAAAGGGAAGTGCGCTTGGTTGGAGCTCCGCCGCCTCCGCCCCCTGGAGACACCACGCCGAAGCTGACCCCTTATGAGGAGTTGGTCAATAATGTTAGAGGGCATCTACGACGGGCTATGGTTATATTCGAACCTGTGGAGCCCATACGCCCGCTGGATCGGTAGTCGTTGTTGTTATCGTTTCTATGAAGAGTGGGAGTTGTGGTATTACCACGGGGGGAAGGGTAGTGTAGATCAGTTTGGCTTCTTTACGAGGTCTTGGGAAAAACCCAGAAGTTTGATCGGAATTTTCGTACTGTCGTTAACACATGTAATAGACAATGTGTGTATTTTCCAGTACTACCGAAAACAGTGTTGGAATGTCAGTCAGCTTTGTTCGACCGAGCTCAGGAGTTTCCTCACTCCCTATGGGAATTTACGCAATAATTTTGGTAGGAATGTACAGAAACTAGTAGGAATTTTCCGAAATTTCCTCAGAATTTTTATATTGTCACTAAAACGCGAAGTAGAGAATGTGTGTATTTTCCAGCAGTAGTGGAAGGAAAACAACGCGAATGAGTTTGCGTGTTGTGCGTGGTAGGTTTCCCTGCCGACATTGCTCTCAGTGCTTATCTGCTGTTGTTGTTGTTTTTTCATCTGGATGTCGTCCCTTAGTGTCGCAGACATTTGGACGGCGTATTGGCCGTACATAGTGTTGACTCTAGTGGTGGGCGTATGCGGGTATCTGGCTACTATCATTTTTGAGGTAGGGAGAAGTATAGATGGTGTGGTATGGCATGGTATAGTGTAGGATTACCGAAGGCAGTCAACGGCGACTTCTGAGTTCTTGCAAGCAACGGGCGGTACGGGAGAGTACGAGATCGACTTGCCCGAGGAGGAGCTGAATGCGTATCTTGATTTCAAGGAAAAGGTTTTGCAGGAATACCTTGTTAAGGAAAGGAAAGGGAGGTAGAGCTGTACGGCGTGTGGCGAATTGGAGTGCTGTTGATTTTAGGGTGATCTCGGATTTGGACGCCCCTGAGATGATGCGAATCATCCGACATGAAATTCCAGAGTCGGATAGGGTGAGAGGCAGTGTTGCTTTACTCGGCTGAGTTGGAGAGTTTATAAGAATTGTGATAGAATTGTACAGAAATGAGCAATAATTTTTTCCCAGAATATTCATATTGTCACCGACCATGTGCATATTTTCCGGAGTGTATGTCGAATATTTGTGTATGTGTGTCAGCGGAAACTGAAGGCTTTGGTGTTAAAGCGTTGCATCGGGTGCGTCCACGTGTTGGCTCAACTGCAGAGGGATAAGCCGGGCGCAGCGAGAATGATGGATAAGAAACTAGTCGCGGATAAGTATGTTGTGTTGGGGTGGTCGTTGGGGGCCTGAGGGCAGGAGTAGTACTGGGAAGGAGTGCTTCAAGCGGAAAGGGACTTCAATGCTGAGATGGATGATGTGGTGAAAGAGTCGGAAATGATCGAGGAAGGCTTCGGGAGGAATGTGTGGCCGCAGGGGCTGCAGTTTTATAGACTAGAACAGGTGCGTGGGTGTTGGTTTGCCCGAGGGGGTATGGGCGTTGTGGTGGCGTTTAGCATAAGGAGATGATGGCCAAGAAGGAGGCGGATGAGGCAGAGGCGCGAAAGCAGTTGGCTGGTGATTCTAGTGATGGTAGCAGTGGCAAGAGGGACGATGCTGAGGCTACGGAAAGGAAGGAGGAGATGAGGAAACAGCTCCGGGAGGTGGGTTCTTGGGTTTTGGGGTAGTCGATTTACTTACCTCGTTTTAGCGCATCCAGCAAAAGGCAGATCAGAGAAGACGCAAATAGAAAATAGTGTTTAGAGGGAAGGTGGGGGCTTATCTAACTTACTGGTATATTTGATGATAACCTAGCACTTGGTCATCGTGGATGGAGATAGTCACAGCATCGTATGGTCATTTCCTTGCTAGTTGCCTTGGTATTAGAAGTTGTGTTGGTTATGGAGGAGGGGGGCAGTGGGGGGGGGTGACTTTATCGTATATTTGATAATCTATCACCGCATCGTATGGTTGAACTAGTGTAGGAATGTATGGTTGTCTTCCTCGGAAATTTCTTTACTACATACAGAAATTCACTCTTGGTTAGTACGGCAGTTGACCATGTGCATATCTTCCTCCAACACTGTTTTCCAGAGTCACAGCGTTGTTGTCTCTGTAACTATGGACCCTGCTTACTCCTTGTCGAAGTCTCAGCTGCTGGAGTGGGTGAACACCTTATTGCAGACTTCCCTTACCAAGGTCGAACAGTGTGCTTCGGGAGCAGTGTATTGTCAGATTATCGACTCGGTCTTCCCGGGTAGTAGCGACAGTAGTGCTTAGGAGGTGCTGGAGTGTGTATTAGGACGTGTACCGTTGAAGAAAGTGAACTGGATGGCTAAGGTGGACTATGAGTATGTTCATAATTATAAGATATTACAGAGAGCCTTTGATCAATGCAATATAGCTAAGCATATTGATGTTGATAAGC